CGTAGTGATACTGCCTCGGAAACCCAAGGAGGGGTTGCTATGAGTCGGGGCCGACTCGACGGCACATAACAACAACAACAACAACAAATTCAGGAGGGACGTAATCAAGATCATAGTTTGGCTCTCATGGATTCTTTTAATTGTCTTCAGCTCAACTTGAACTTGCATATGAGCAACTAATGGTCTGTTCCACAATCAGCTCCTGGCCTGGTTTTCGCTGAAGATATTGAGCTTTTCCATCGCCTCTTGCTACAGATGTAGTCCATCGGATTCCTGTGTACTCCGTCTGGAGAAGTCCATGTGTTTAGCTACTGTTTGTGTTGTTGAAAAAAAGCGTTTGCAACGAATAAGTCATTGGTCTTGCAAAATTCTATCATGCGATCTCCTGTGTCATTTCTATCACAAAGGCCATATTGTCACACTATCAGTGATTGTTCTTTGTTTCCAATTTTTGCATTCCAGTCACAAGAAATCAATACATCTTGATTGCACATTTGGTCAATTTCAGAAGTTGTTAAAAAAATCTTCAATCTCCTCATCTTTGGCTTTAGTAGTTGGTGTGTAAATTTGAATAATAGTATTCCTTATAGGCATAAGGAATTAACTGCTCTTCCTTATAGGCATATGGATATAATCCTATGACTGAGAGCATTGTACTTCAGGATAGATCTTGAAACACCCTTTGTGATGATGACTGTCACGCCATTCCTCTTCAAATTGTCATTCCTGGCATAGTAGATCATATGGTTCTCTGATTCAAAATGCCCAAAACCCGTCCATGTCAGCTCACCAATGCCTAGGATATCAATCTTTATGCGTCCCACTTCATTTTTGACAACTTCCAATTTTCCTTGGTTCCTACTCTATACATTCCATGTTCCAATTATTAATGGATGCCTGCAGCTGTTTCTTCCCATTTTGAGTCGAGCCACATCAGCAAATGGGAGTCCCCAAAGCTTCACTATGTCCACGTCATCAAGGTCGGCTCTGTCTTGAGGAGGAAGTTCTTCCCCACTTGTATCCTGAGTGCCTTTTGACCTGAGGGGCTCATCTTCTGGCACTGTGTTGGACAAAGTTTCAGGGCTATTCATAAAGTTGTCCAGTAATATATCAGACAGTATTTCAGTGCTATTCATAAGGTTCATATTCATACTGGCCAATTCTTTAAGAAATGGATGACCTCTTCCTTCTTCTGAGTCTGTCTTAGTCTGGAAGTGCCGCTGAAACCTGTCCACCATGGGTGACCCAGCAGGTACTTGAAATACTGGTGGCACAGCCTCCAGCCTCATAGCAACATACAAGCTACCACAGTGTGACAAACTGGCATTGATGAGTAGTGGATCTTTTTGATAGCTATTTTAAATGGTATTGATTTCCTTTTCAGAGATCTCTTTGCTGGTATAGAAAAATCCAACTGATTTTTGTATGTTGATCCTCTATCCTGCCACTATGCTATATCTTTCAATTAGTTCCAGTAGTTTTCTTGGTGAGTCTCTTGGGTTTTCTATGTAGAGGATCCTATCATCTGCAAATAGAGATAGTTTGACTTCTTCCTTAGCAATATGGATGCCTTTTACTTCCCTTTCTTGTCTTACTGCCCTGGCTAGGACTTCTAATACAATGTTGAATAGAAGTGGTGATAGAGGGCATCCATGTCTGGCTCCTGTTGGCAAGGGGAGTGGTTTCAGTCTCTCTTTGTTGAACACAATTTTGGCTGTTGGTTATGCATAGATACCCTTCATTATGTTAGGGAATTTCCCTTCTATTCTTATTTTTCTGAGAGTTTTGATCAGGAATGGGTGTTGGATTTTATCAAATGCCTTTTCTGCATCAATTGATACTATCATGTGGTTCTTTTCCTTTGTTTTATTTGTGTGATGGATGACGTTGATTGTTTTTCTAATGTTGAATCATCCTTGCATACCTGGTATAAATCCCACTTGGTCATGATATATTATTTTTTGATACATTGTTAGAGTCTATTGCCTAGGATTTTATTGAAGATTTTTGCATCTATATTAATGAGGGATATTGGTCTGTAGTTCTTTCTAGTGGTGTCTTTGCCTGGTTTTGGAATCAGGGTTATGCTTGCTTCATAAAATGAATTTTGGGGGATTCCAACCTTTTCTATGCTCTGGAATAGTTTGAGTAGGATTGGTGTCAGCTTTCTCTGAATATGTGCTAGAATTCTGCAGTGAAACCATCTGGGCCAGGACTTTTTTTTTTTTTTTTTGGTAGTAATTTTTTAAATGACCTGTTCAATTTCTTCTTTTGTTATGGATATGTTCAAATTTTCTACCTCAGTCTGTGTTAGTTTAGTGTGTTTCTAGAAATCTGTCCATTCCTTGTAGGTTTTCAAATTTGTTGGAGTACAGTTCTTCATAGTATCCTGATACTAACCTTTTTATTTCAGTTGGTTCTGTTGTGATGTCACCCATCTCATTTCTAGAGTTGGGTTTTTTAAGGATGGAAGGGTTAAGGGCAGTTACATACCCAGTGAAATATCTAGAAGAGGTGAGAGCTCTGAGGGCAGCAAAGTGGGTGGCAGCTCCCACAGGAGGGGTGGTCCAGCCCTTGTGGATGGCTACCAGGGGCCTGGGAGGGCACGTGGATGTGGGGTGGCTGGAGAGGTCTCATCAGGGCCCTAACATCTCAGTGAGAATGGGAGGGGTGGAGGGCTGGTGAGGGAGGAGTGTGTGTGGGGGGTCTGCCGACTATGGCAGAATTCTAGCAAACATTCAGAGAGAGTTGACACCAATCCTATTCCAAAGCATAGAAAAGGATGGAATCCCCCCAAATTCATAGTTGCCAACTCTGTGTGTGGGTATGAATGTGTGCGGGTGTGTGTTAGTGTGAATGAGTGTGAGTGTGGGCGTGAACGTGTGACTCTGTGTGAGTCAATGTGTGTGAGGGGAGAGAGCTGGGGGGCCCCTGCTGCTTGCCATGGGGACGCCTTGTGTACTTCATGTATTGCCACCTTCCTTCAAGATGGGGTTCAAGTGTCCCCAGTTCTGAGACACCCTCCCCAAGTGTCCTGACCCGATGGTGGCTCCCATGTGGTACTCCTGAGCCCACTTTTCCTTCTCGATTCCCAGGCCCTTTGGGGTGGCTCCCTGTTGTCCCTTCCTAGTGTGTGGCACGTCCTGGTCACCAGTGTCCACAGCCTCATGGCCCAGGCTCCTCCCCTGTGAGGCCCTCCTTGGAGGCTGGCCAGAGACAAGGAAGGAGAGGTGTTCTGGGACCGGTCCACACTGTGTGTCAGAGTGAGAGTGTTTGTGTGTGTGTGTGTGTGATGTAAGAGTGTGTGAGTAAGACTGTGAGTGTAAGGGTGTATGAATGAGTGTGTAAGTGTGTGAGTGTAGGAGAGGGATCTACGTAGGAGATCCTGGGTAGAGAGGGAGAACAATGCGGAACAAAACTCAAAATCATTTAAGAAAAAAGCATCAGGTTTGCTGATCTGATGGAGCCTGGTGGAACCCCTAAGACTATAACCCCTAGCTCCCCTTCAGGTCTGAAATTGAACCCACTCCTGTGGCTTCTAGCCAAACAAAAGACAGGCATATGAGCTGAACATTTACCTGAGGTAGATATACTACTTGGAGAGAACAATCATGGGAGAAAGAAGGGCTGCTTATGCACAGGGAGACAGCTCAGGGGGCAGGAGTGCACGGAGGGAAGGACACAGGGAAGAAGTAACTATAGGGAGGAAGTGGGAGGGGAGCTGTTGTATTGGGGTAAATTGTAGTCAATGTCATGAGACAAAGTGTATGTGAACTGCTGTATGGAAAGTGAATTTGCTCTGTAAATTTTCACCCAAATCACAATTAGGAAAAAAAAAGTGTTTGAGTGTGTGTAGGTATGAGTGTGTGCGGATGTGTGTTAGTGTGAATGAGTGTGAGTGTGGGTGTGAGTGTGTGACTGTGACAGTGTTGTGATGGGCACCCATGAGAACACGGTATCCTCACCTCTGGTCTCACAGTCCTGGAAGGAGGTGGCACCCTCGAGCTTGGTAAGCAGGCCCCCTCCACAGGGGAAGCAGCCTGTGCGCCCCGGCTCGGGCTGGTATGTGCCCACGGGGCAGGCCTGGCAGGGCTTGAAGCCGTCGGTGGAGAAGAAGCCGGCAGAGCACTGGCCTGGAAGTGAGAGGTCATGGCTCAGGCCGGCAGGGGTGGACATGCAGCTGCTGAGACCGTGGGTGGTACCAAGGCCTGCTCTCAGCCCCAGCCTGCTCCTGGAGAAGAAGCCACCAAGGCAGCCCAGGCCAGGGACACTGCGGCCCGGGTGGTGGGAGGCCTGGGCCCCAGTCGGGATGTGGCCTTGGCCAAGCCTGGCTTTACTCCTCCCACCAGCAGGAAGGGTGTTCAAGGGCACAGTGGATGCCCAGGCCCCATGTAGCACGAGAACATTTACTTTAGGGGCACCCTCCCCAGGGGGACAAGCCATACAGGTGGCTTCAGGAGGTGCTGGGGGAGTTAAGGCTGCCAGAGAAGGCTCAGGGCTGACCGCTGCCCCGTCCATCTGCAGGTGCCCCAGAGCAGGGGCAGGAGGGCCTGTGAGGTCCCCAAGAGCACAGCTGGGGCAAAGGGCCAGGGCAGCAGAAAAGCCAGCTCCACCCCACAGAGAACATTGTAACATTTGAGCAGAAGGTTAGGTGCACAGGGCTTCTGGCACTGGGTGGGTGGTGGTCGTGGTGTGCCTTCGGCCCAGGCCCTGGGCTTCGAACCATGGTGATACTCCACCAGGCCCCACCCTGTGATTGCCACGGCCCCCATTCCTCCCTGGGGTGGAAGTCACACTCTGCCAGCGGCTGTGGACCAGGGTTTGCCCACCAGCCTGCAAAGTCTCAGCACTGGGCTTGGGGCTCTTCTCTCTCCAGACACGGCAGGGTGGGGGTGGCGTGGGAAGCAGGTCCTGTCCAGGTCGCCACTGCCCACAGGACCCATCTCACCCCCCCAGGTACCCTGCATTCCTCAGGACGGTGAGCCTTTCCCAACCTGTTCCCTAGGGTGATCCTCCAGGGGCCCCGGGAGGGAGGCGGACGAGAGGCTGTGAGCCGTGTCACAGGTGGGGAGTGGGGAGCAAAGGCCCTTTGCGACAGAACTGCTTGGTGAAGTGAAAAGAGCGTCCATTCCCTCTTGGGGCACGTGGGCAAGGTCTCTGACATGCAAGGTGTGGTGCAGCCTGCGAGGGGTTTGATGATGATGGTGGGCTCCATAAAATGTACGTGTGGTCAACCAGAGACACAGCGACCTCGTCATAAACTGTGAGATATCCATATAGGAGAGGGCCTGTCCTCTGTAAAATCCTTCCCAAACCGTAGGGGGCAAAGGTTACCAGTCCTGAGATAGATGCAGCGCTTGTTAACCACAGCGTCTGCTCAACCATGTGTGTAGGCTGTCATCTGTCACGTACTGACTGCGTGTCCTCTCAGCCACGTGGGGGTTCTGTCTTCTGTCATGTACTAACTGCGTGTCCTCTGAGACACATGGGCTGTCATCTGTCATGTAGTGACTGTGTTTCCTCTGAGACACGTGGAGGCTGTATCATCAGTTATGTACTGTGTGTCCTCTGAGCCACGTGGGGGGGCTGTAGCATCTGTCATGTACTGACTGTCCCCCACATGGGGGCTCTGTCATCTGTTATGTAGTAATTGTGTGTCCTCCGAGCCATGTGGGGGCTCTGTCTGTCATGTAGTGACTGCACGTCCTCCCACCTACATGGGGGCTATGTCACCTGTCATGTACTGTGTGTCCTCCAAGCCACGTGGGGGCTCTGTCATCTGCCATGTAGTGACTGCACGTCCTCCCACCCACATGGGGCTGTGTCATCTGTCATGTAGTAACTGTGTGTCCTCTCACCTACATGGGGGCTGTGTCATGTGTCATGTATTAAGCACATGTCCTCTGAGCCACGTGGAGGCTGTCATGTGTAATATATTAACCACATGTCCTCTGAGCCACACGGGGGCTCGGTCATCTGTCATGTATTAACAGCCTCTCTTCTAAGCCACGTTGGGGCTCTGTCTTGTGTTATGTACTAACTGAGTGTCCTCCAAGCCACATGGGGGCTCTATCATGCCATGTATTAACTGCATGCCCTCCGAGCCACATGTGGACCCTGTCATGTGTCACGTATTAACCATGTATCCTCTGAGCCATGTGTAGACACTGTCATGTGTCATGTATTAAGCACATGTCCTCTGAGCCACGTGGAGGCTGTCATGTGTCATGTATTAACCACATGTCCTCTAAGCCATGTGTGGGCTCTGTCATGGGTTGTGTATTAACCATGTATTCTCTGAGCCACGTGGGGGCTCTGTCATGTGTCATGTATTAAATGCTTGTCCTTCAAGCCACGCTGGGGCTCTGTCTTGTGTTATGTACTAACTGAGTGTCCTCTAAGCCACATGGGGGCTCTATCATGCCATGTATTAACTGCATGTCCTCTGAGTCATGTGTGGACCCTGTCATGTGTCATGTATTAACCACATATCCTCTGAGCCACGTGTGGGCTCTGTCATGGGTTGTGTATTAACTATGTATTCTCTGAGCCACGTGTGGGCTCTGTCATGGGTTGTGTGTTAACCATGTATTCTCTGAGCCACGTGGGGGCTCTGTCATGTGTCATGTATTAAATGCATGTTCTTCAAGCCACGTAGGGGCTCTGTCTTGTGTCATGTACTAACCATGTGTCCTCTGAGCCACATGGGGGCTGTCATCTGTCATGTATTAACCACCTGTGTTCCAAGCCATGCCAGGCTGTCTTGTGTTACGTACTAACTAGGTGTCTTCCAAGCTAGGTTGGGGCTCTGTATTGTGTTATGTACTAACTGAGTGTCCTCCGAGCCACGTGGGGGCTCTGTCATGTGTCATGTATTAACCATGTGTCCTCTGAGCCACATGGGGGCTCTGTCCTGTGTCATGTACTAACCACATGTTCTCTGAGCCACATGGGGGCTGTCACCTGTCATGTATTAACCGCCTGTCTTCCAAGCTATGTTGGGGCTCTGTCATGTGTCATGTATTAACCATGTGTCCTCTGAGCCATGCGTGGACCCTGCCATGTGTCATGTACTAACCACGTGTCCTCCGAGCCATGCGTGGACCCTGCCATGTGTCATGTACTAACCACGTGTCCTCCGAGCCATGCGTGGACCCTGTCATGTGTCAGGTACTCTGGGAGCAGTAGCTGCACTGAGGTTGTGAAATGCTTGGGAAACAGCGAAGAGCTTCAAGCACCACTCTGTACGGTCCTGCTGGGCACACGGGCCTTTGCTTTGGGGGCCACAGTAGAAGTGGGAGGAGCCCTGCCCCCCCGCTCGCCTCTGCTTCCAGGGTGGGCCCACACTCGCCTCCACACTCGGACACGTTGCGGGCACCTGCCAGGCCGAGCCCGTCACTGCTAGGGCACGGTGTGCAGCTGAGCTGGCCGTCCATGTCCTGATAGGTTCCTGGTGTGCAGGGCACGCACTGGCCGGGTTCACCACTGAAGTAGGTGCCAGGCCCACAGCTCACTGCAGAGGAAGAGGGGAGAGAGGCTGGAGGAGAGTGGGGGTTGGGCGCGCTGTCTGCCAGGTGCCACTCCCCAGGTCTCTATACCAGGCACAGGCCTCACGCCTGGTGCTTTGAGGGCACAGATGGGCCCAGGCCCATCCCAGAAGAGCCAGGACTCCGTGTGTCCCCTGTGCCAGGCTGCAGCCACCTGTGAGGGCCCTGGAGGTCGACCTGGTGCCTTCCCCCTTCTCTCCTCCCCTTCTCAGGGTCCTCTGAGATCCTGTGCCTCAGCCTGTGTTCTGTGGGGCTCGGCCTGGACCTCTTTCTCTCTCTGGTGATGTCAGACCAGACAGCTTCCCATCTTGCCTCCAGCCCTGGCCTCCTGGCCTGTTTACCAAACTGCCCCTGGATGTGCCCACCTGGATGCGCGCAGTCATTTTATCCAGAACCTCACCCACTTCCCTCCCCTCCTGTCCCCTTTCACCTGAGGACACGGGCAGTATGAGGAGGGGTTGAGGGTGCTGGGCCCTCAGGGGAAGGTGTGGGGCCGGGGGCTGAAGAGAGAACTAATGTGCTTGGGAGGCTGGTTACATGGAGCCAGTAAGTAAACTTGTGAGCAAATAAGTGAATTATGGAGAAAGGGAGTAACATTCTCACTGTGGGTGAAGATATTTATAAACATGGATGGGTGACGGTTAGCAAGAACCTTGAGGTAACGGAATTGGAACTGGGGGTATTGGTGGGAACTCATGGTTTTGTTACATATGCAACCACAGCCACAGAACTAGCAGAGGTAAGGTGTGCGTATGCCTGTGTTTGTACACAGATACATCACACCTGGCTTTCCTAGCTCCGTCCACCGACAGTCCTAGAAGCAATGGTTAACTCAGTAGCAGTGAGTACCCAAGCACCCAGATCTTAGTGTCTACAGAGCACGCTCTTCTAAAAGGATCCAAGGCCGGGTGTGGGGAAGGAACAAGCTGAATCTGAAACACCTTGCAGTGCCAGGAAGTCAGGGAATGTTCACCGAGTGAGGGGGACATGTCGAGAGGGCACAAGATGCCGGCTTGATGGGGCGCCTGCTGGCTGAGCTGGGCAAAACCTGGGCCTCCAAGTTAGTAACGACAGGAATGGACAACCAGCCAGGGAACGGGAGGAGCCAGGTCCAGTGTCCTCCTCTGTCTGGGACGCGTCCTCCAGCCACACTCCACCCCGGGCAGGAGCCTGCTCACGTCCTGTCCCCGCACGGCGGCCTAATGGCCCTGTGCTCCGCCACACGGCACTAGCACTCTTTGGTTGAAACTATCGTTGTGAGTGCTGTTGGTCCCTCTGCGGGCCTTCTTACCGTCCCCCCCCACAACGTCTTCTCTGTGTGCCCACTGCTGCTCACCCAGGGGAGCACGTGGAGGGAAAGACAGAGATCGTGTGACAAGTCCACTTTGGAGTGGCCACAGAAGGGACTCACCGCACTTGCCCTCCTGAGGCACCTGGCCTGTGCTGCACGCCCCCTGTCCCTCCGTGGCCTTGGCCAGCGGCTGGGCCATCTCATACTCAGTGCCCGAGATCTGGATGTGGAACCGCTGCCGGCTGATAGATTTCCGCAGGGTCTTGACAGCGGCCTGCAGGCTCTGCTCGGCTCGCTTCCGCATGCAGTCTGCCTTGCAGGTGTCTGCAGGGGCGGGAGAGGCCGAGCGGGAGTAACCACAGCCCCAGCCCTGCTGGCAGCAGCCACCCACTGAGAACGTCCTGGCTGGACCTCCACTGGCTTACCTCACCTAGTCCCCACAGCAACTCCAGGGCCAGGGGCTGCTGACAGGTGAGGCAACTAAGGCTCGGAGAGGCGGGGGCTGAGAGCCGAGTACACACCCAGGCCTCTGCCCACATCGCGTCACCTCCCTGGAACACAACCCACTGAGCAGGGACTTCTGCCTGCCGCTCAGACCCTGCTCCCAGGACAATGTCCAGCTCCCAGGCTTTGAACCCTAAGCCCTTGTAATCTGGCCTCTGCCTGCCTTGCCAGCCTTAAGGCCCAACACTCACTTCTAGCTGCACTGCCCCTTCCTCCACTGCTCCCTGACCGTACCTTGGCATATGCTATTCCTTCTGCCTGAGTGCTGTTCCCTGCTGTTTCCAGGGGTCCCTCTTATGAGAAGTCGTCTCTGACTCCACACTGAGGAGGCCTCGGCTCTGTGCCTGTTTGTCCCCATGCCTCCCCCCATCTGATGTCTGATGTTCCCTGGCCTGGAAGCCCCACTACAACACGGACCATAGCCTGGTACCCTCTCCCCGTGGTGCCCAGCCCAGGGCCAGGCACGCACGGTACACGTTTGTGACTGATCTCAGCTCCTCTGTCACAGTGAACATCATTTGCAGCCCAGAGGAAAGCCCTGGGTTAAAGCACAGCCAGCACTTCAGGCCCTTGTCTGGAACCGGGAAGGGTCCTTGGCTCAACCTTTCCGGGCAGCTGCAGGCATTAGCCCTTTCAGGCCTGCTGAGAACGTGGAGGGCTAGGAGCCGTCTCCGCGGTCCCTTGAACCCCCTCCTCTGTTTGCCTCTGGGCTGCCTCTTCCATGCTGGGCTCCAGGCAGCTGTTTGGAGACCCCATGTGGACCTCAGCCAGTGCCCTGCTTGCCTGGCTGGCCCGGGCCTCCAGTGGATGTGGCTTGGCTGGGAGCCCTCAGCAGGCCCGTGAGGGAGCCCCTCACCCACCTGATGCCTCCTCCATCTTCATCCCCACCTCGAACTCCGCTGTGATGTGGGACACCTCCTTGGACGGGGACTTGCGGCCGCGACGCCTCTTCTTGGAGGAGTCGCACTTGAGGGTCATGAAAGTCACGTGGCAATTGTCTGGATAAGGGAAGGGACTGCTGTGGCATGGAAAGGTGGCAGGGAGCAGGGTCCTTGGACAGAGACATCGGAAAGGGCCTGCCTTGCCTAACAGTCTAGGTGCAGATGGGGAAACCGAGGCTGGAAGAGGCCAGGGCTGGTGGAAGGTCTAACGGGGAGTGGGTGGCTGAGTCAGGCCCTTCTGAGTCCACACGCCCTGCACACTGGGCACCTGGTGAGGACGCTGACAGGAGCTCCAGGCCTGCAGAGGGCCTGGCCCCCTCCAGGCACTTGAACTCTAGGCCAGGCCTGCGGAGGGCTTGGCTCCCCCTTGGAGACTCAGACCCAAGCCAGGCCTGCAGAGGGCTGTGAGTCTTGTCAGGTTTGAGAACAAATCTTAAGGTCTTCCAGAACCTTCTTAGAAACAGCTGGGATGCCTCCCTGGGCCCTTTCCCTGGCCTGGAGTACCTGGTCCTCCAGTCACTTGGGAGTTGTTGAGGGGGCCCTGCAATCCCCCCACTTACAGGGCGGGCTGCTGAGAAAGCCTTTGCTCTGGGCGAGCAGGGACGATGAGGCCCAGGTGGGCTGGGGCACCCGTTTTCCCCCTCAAACGCTGGCTTCTTCCCAAGAGACACCACCATTGTCTATAGTTTGCCGTGTACCGTGAGGCAGGCAGGGCAGCGGGGCTACAGGATCCTGGTGGGGAACACAGAGAAACCCCCAGGGACGAGGGCTGTCCCCCTCCCTGTGTGGGCTGGCACCAGAATGGCCACTCACCGAGCAGTGGCTGCTGAGGGGCTTCCTTGGCTCTCTCGTGGCTGCGCGGCCAGAGGTGGCACTTGGCGTCCCTGATCTTGAAGCGGGCTTTCTGCTTGATGGGGGTGCCCGGAGCGTCTGGGAAGAGCCAAGATCCCCCCAGGTGATGGCCTCTGCTGTGGGCAAGGAGGTGGTGGGGGCGGGCGGCTGCTATGTGGAGTGTCTGGGGGTCTGCGTGTGGCCTGATGACCGGGGACAGACACACGGGGAGGTCACTCAAACCCGATGGCCCTCCCAGGGGAGTGGGAACCATTGCTGCCCCACCTCTCCCTGCAAGGCCTGAAAAAGGTAAAAGCAGGGGCGGTGGGTTCGAGTTCAAGACCAGGGGCAGCACAGCCAGGAAGGGGTCCTCTGTGACTCGCCCCTCCTCCCCCACCACCAAGGCAGTGAATGAGGGAAACAAGGAAGGGGGGGTTCTGAATACTACAGACGCCCAGAAATGCGGGTTCCTCCATGCATCAAAGCACAGCCCGTAGGACTGAGGAACCCTCCCGCCACATCACGTGTGGGTCAAGTGCCCGCGGCACCTGGAAGAGCTGCTGGAGACACACCCCTCTCCTAAGCTGCATCCGTGGCCTGAGACCTGCTGTCCACACCCTCCCCCGTCCCCGTGCCTTGGCCCTCCTGGGTACAACCTTCAGGGGAATTCAGACAGGAGATGCTAGAATCCAATGGCCTCACTTTATGGACACAGCATCCATGGACTTGGCATTTTGATGCCCCTGAATGACCTTGGTCGGGGGCCAGAACTTCAGAGCCAGAAGGCCCTCCCACAGTCCAGGGCCCTGGCTGCAGCCTGCTGGCTTCTAGGTCGTGGCCCTGCTCATTGGGTCCTTCTCCCTCCGGCGTGGTGCTGGACATGAAGTCAAGGGGCCACCCGGGGTGCGTGGCATGGGCAGTCCAAGGGGCTACCTGAGCAGCGGGGCCCGGTGCCGCTGGGCTTCTGCGGCGTCTTGCCCTGGAGACCCGGAACACCGCAGCTCAGGACGTAGCTGTTCTCCGAGTCTGCAGAGGGGCCAGGGGGTGAGGTGGGCCTGGGGCACCCATCTCCAGGCCCCCGGGTCCCTGGATGAGATGCAGGTCCGGCTTGACCCTTACGTCCATGCCTTTCTGCCACAGGGTAAGGGCTGGGCAGGAAGGAGCCCGCCAGATCTATCAGGAAGGAGCCCGAGCCCCACAGAGAACAAGATGGTGCTGGGTCCCTTAGTGAGTCTGGCCAGGGTGGGCCCCAGTTCTCTCTCCTGCAGACCAGCAGGGAGCAGGGGCTGGACCCCAGGGAAGGAGGCCCCACCCAGCCTGCCAGCCAGGACGGCCTCGGGTTACCTGGCATGAAGTGAGTGTGGGCCGGGCAGGACAGGACGCAGCTCTCCACCGCACCCATCTTGCTGCAGGACAGCTGGGCCTGGGGCCAGGCCTTAGCGCGCGAGAGGCACTTCCCGGTCTCTGAGGAGAAGGAAGACACAGCAGGGGCTTGAAGGAGAGTGAGGTGGAGGCTCTCCCCGGGCATGGGCCAGCTGGACGCCCTCACACCTCTCTCCTGGGGCCAGATGCTGTGGTGGGAAGGGGCCCAGCGATGACAGAACCCGGATCCCTCCGACCTGAGGCGGCACCCCCCAGAGCTGGTCTGCTCCCTGTTCCCTCAGACTCCAGTCTGGGCCGTCTTTAAGGGGCCACACCCACTCCCCTGGACCACAGGCTCCCCAAGGCAGGGCCAGGTTCTCCAGGGAGGTGCCCAACGTGAGGCTGCTGGCTGAGGTGGCCTTCAACACACGGCTGGGCACTTTCAAAACACCTTCCAGTCAGTAACCTAGAAGAAAATAAGCTCACGGCCTCCAGATGAGACCTCTGGTCTCTGAAATAAGAACAAGACCGAGAGTGCCCTGTTCCCAGAGGTCTGCCGGAAGAAAGGGCCACTGGAGGCACAATGCTCCATGTTTGTGAAGAAACAGAAGGATGAGGACGCACAAACAGTCACCAAAGAGGACCCTCAGCATGTGCCCAGGGAGCTCCCGCCCAGGGAGCACGCGCCCAGGGAGCACCCGCCCAGGGAGCACGAGCCCAGGGAGCACTTTCCCAGGGAGCACCCGCCCAGGGAGCACAAACCCAGGGAGCACGTGCCCAGGGAGCACCCGCCCAGGGAGCATGCGCCCAGGGAGCACCTGCCCAGGGAGCACGAGCCCAGGGAGCACCCGCCCAGGGAGCATCCGCTCAGGGAGCACGAGCCCAGGGAGCATCCGCCCAGGGAGCATGAGCCCAGGGAGCACCCGCCCAGGGAGCACCCGCCCAGGGATGGCCCCAGCTCTCCGTCCACCAGGGCACTGAGTGTGTCAGCATGTTCTTGCCAGGCATCCCAACAACATAAATGACTGCCTGCATTGCACCCAGGCCACTCAGGGAGGTCACACAGTGAGAAACCCCACAGGACAGGATGACACCTTGCTCTGGACAAAGAGGGTGCGTGCCAAAGGCTCACCATTATTAAGGTGGTGAGTCCCTCAGCTTAGTCACCCTCAGCTACGGCCCAGATTCACAGTGGGTGCACTGGGCCCTCCACGCCACCCCTGTGGGCCCTGCAAGCATGCTGTCACCTACAGCTATGGCCCAGACCCATGGTGGGTGCACTGGGGCCCTCCACATCACCCTGTGGGCCCTACAAGCATGTTGTCACCCTTAACTATGACACAGACCCACGATGGGTGCACTGGGCCCTCCACGCCACCCCCAAGGACTCTGCAAACATGCTGTCAATCTCAACTGCAACACAGACCCACGGTGGGTGCACTGGGCCCTCCATGTCACCCCTGTGGACCCTGCAAACATGCTGTCATCTACAGCTATGGCCCAGACCCATGGTGGGTGCACTGTCCCCTCCACGCCACCCCTGTGGGCCCTGCAAACATGCTGTCACCCTCAACTGCAACATGGATCCACGGTGGGTGCACTGGGCCCCTCCATGTCACCCCTGTGGGCCCTGCAAACAGGCCGTCATGATGCTGCTGCATCCTGAGGAATAAGGTGCTTTGTGTCTGACTCAGGAGATGTGTGTCTGCTGCATGCAGGGGACAGTACCGGGCAAACTTCCTTAGCTGATGAGCGGCATAAAGTCTCAGCCTGAGGCCACCTCACTGGCTGTCACTGCCACTACCAGAGGGCATCAGCTCCTCTGAGTGGCACTTAAATCCCCTAAAAAGCAAGTGGGAAGGCACATGGAGCAGAAGTATGAGAGAGAGGGAGGGGAAGGAGAGGGAGAGGGGAGGAGGGAGAGGGAGGAAGAGACACAGAGAGAGAGAGAGAGAGAGAAGGAGTGCCTGCCCTAGAGTAAGGATGACTGACTGTGCTGGGATGTGGATGAAGATCGTAAACGGAAGTGTGAGAGGGCACAGGAAGGTGTGGAAAGCCTGGGAACCAGAACTGGTTTGGTTCACTACAGCCACTGGAATACTGGGACCCAGCCCATCACTGTTCCTTCTGACTTCCAGATCAGATAAACTAACCCACCTCTGAGGAGCGGATTCCGACTCATAGAGACCCCCTTTGGCTTTCTGAGGCAGTATCTCTATGGAAATAGATTGACCAACCTTCCTTCTGAGGAGTGACTGGTGGGTTTGAACCGCCCACCTTCTGGTGAGCAGTCAACTGCCTTAGGCACCATGTCACCAGAGCTCGCTGTCTCGGATGACAGCTGACGGAAAGCTTCATGTTGCTGTACTACATATGAACCAGAAACAGCCCCTGGGGCAAAGCCCCCACCACCGCAGCAGAGTAACTTCAGCAGAGCCTGGAGGAGTCCAGACTGAGCCTTCCCAGACTGCCCATGACTCTTCTATTGCTACGAACACGCAAAGGGGAGGCCGTGCTCTCGGGCATACAGTGAGCAACGTGGCAAGCAGCAACGGCCTGCTGGTCTCCTGGAGTCGGTCAAGGCTCTTTCTCCCGGCTGCGCAGCAGGGCAACCTGGGCTGAGCGGGCCGAGACATCTTCAGACCTTGTACCCATTGCTGTTGCCAGCTGCTGTCGAGGTAGCTCTGACCCACAGAGACCCTGGGTAACAGCCAAATGCTGCCCAGTCCTGCGCTGTCTTGTGTGAGTGTTGGTGTGTTTACTCCACCGTTGTGGCTTATGTGCACGTCCACCTCACCGAGGGCCTCCCTCGTGTCAGTCCGCCTCAACGACGGCCTCCCTCGTGTCCGTCCGCCTCACCAAGGGCCTAGTGTTTTTGCAGACTCCCCACTTCACCAAACAGGATGTCCTTTTCTAGTGAGTGGTCCTTTCTGATGACGCGTCTGAAGTCAGCAAGCAGAGGCCTCTCCCTCCTTGTTTCTAAGGTGCTTTCTAGTTGTATTTCTTTGTAGGCGGATTCGTTCATTCTGCCAGTCCATAGTGTTCGTTACTCCCACCAACACCATAATTCAAAGGCATCTGTTCTTCTGTCTTCCTTTTCCAATGTCTGCTTTCCCATGCACAGGAGGTGACTGAAAAGACCACGGCTTAGGTCAAGTGCATCACAGCCCTTAAACTGACATCTCTGGTTTTTAAAACTTTAAAGAGGTCTTTGGCAGCAGATCTGCCCAATGTGATAGGTCACTGGCTGTTGTGACTGCTGCTTCCATGGGCGTTGATCGTGGGTCCAAGTAGAATGAAACTGCACCAGACCCACCTCTGAATCAGAGAGTGCCACAGAGGTAGGATCCCGACTGTGAACTGGAAACCAGTATTATTTTCTTCAATTATGGTGTCTTGTTACTTTCTCCCCACATGGCCATCCAGCAGCTCTCCTACGTGCTCCTGAAGGAGAATCTTGTCTGTGTTTCTTCACTTTAGGAGCGCTCATATCTGGGACAGTACCAAGTCCTGACTCAATACTGTTTGTTGATGGTCTTATCTTCAAAATGAAGCTGTCCTAAAATTCATGCAGAAATCCAAGGGGCCCAGAATAGCTAAAACAATCTTGAAAAAGAACAATGTTGGGGCACTCACACTTCTCAATTGCAAAACTTACTACAAAGCTACAGCAGTCAAGATGGTGTGGTCCTGGCATAAGGACAGATATACATACATCAATGAAATACAACTGAGCAGCTAGAAGAAACCTTCATGGTCACCATGGACCAATTTGTGACAAGGATACTGAGATAATTCAACAGGGGAAAGAATAGCCTTTTCAACAAACAATACTGGCACAACTGGATACTGACATGCCAAAAAATGAAGTTGGACCCCTACCTCACACCATACACAAAAATTAACTCAAAATGAATTATAGACCTCAATGAAGCACTATCATATCTTAAATATGATACCTAAAGTATAATCAACTAAATTAACAAAAAACCAGATAAATTGGGCTTAGTTAAAATTAAAAGCTTCTGTGCTTCAAAGAACACCATCGAGAAAGTGAAAAGACAACCCACAGAATGGGAGGAAGTAGTTGGAAACTGTGTATCCTCGACGGGACTTGGGCTTGCCTCTGAACATGTGAAGAACTCTTACAATTCAATAATTAGGTGAACAGCCCAATTACAAAATGGGCAAAAAATATGAATAAACGTTTCTCCAGAGAAGGAATCCAAAGAGCCAGTAACTGCACGAAAAGATACCCCAGACCACTAGCTACCAGGGAAATAAAACCCAGAAGTGCAACAAGGGGCCAGCGTTCACCCACTAGGATGGAGTGAATGAAAGTCAGGTTGAAAACAAGGATCACTGGGATCTACAGAAACTGCTGCTGGGAATGTAACATGGTGGAGCTGCCTTGGAAACCAGTTTGGTGCAGTTCCTCAAAAGGCTCAACACAGAGTTACTATGTGGCCTGGCCACTCCGCTCCTGGTATATTCCCAGAGAACTGAAACATACCACACAACAACCTGCACGTGGATGTCCATAGCATTCATAGTGTTATTATTCCTAACAGTCGAAAAATGGAATCCACCAAACACCCATGAGTTGATGGGTGGATTAACAGAGTGTGGCATGTTTAGACAATGGAATATTACTTGGTGATGAAAAGGAATGAAGTACCAATACATGCCACAGCATGGGAGAACCTTGAAAACATGCTGAATGAAATAAACCAGGTACAAAATCTCACATATGTGTACAACCAACTGCTCTCAGGTCAATTCTGACTCACAGTGACCCTATGGGACAGAGTACCACTGCCCCATAGGGCAGAGTTGGCAAATCCATAGACGAAAGTAGATTACTGGTGACAGGGGTGGGTACAGGGTGGAGAGTGGGTTTGAGGGGGAATGAGGAAGGACTGCTGATGGGTACAGGGTTTCTTTCTGGGATAATAAAAATTCTAAACTGATGGTGGTTTTAGCCGTCAAGACACCAGTTGTGACTCGTGGAGACCCCGTGCGGCTGAGGGCAGAACTGCTTCCCCAGGGATTGCGAGGGTTGACTCTTCTGAACTGGATCCTCAGGCCTCTCTCTGAGGCGCCTCTGGGTCTGACCCTCCGACTTTCCGCGAGCAGCGGAGCACACTGCTATTTGCACAGCAGCCACCGTAGCTGTTGGGTGAGCTCTGACTGCTGGCCACCCTGCCTGTTAGAGCAGAGCTGCACCATGTGGGCTTTCCACGGCTGTGGCCCTTTGGGGAAGAGATCACTGGGACTGTTTTTAAGGCGCCTAAGTGAATATGAACTGCCAAACTTTGGGTTAGCAGTCGAGCGCTTAACCGCTGTGCCACCCAGGGACTCCTGCGTGTTAGGTGGTCAGCACTTGTTCGTGGAACCAGTGTGGTGGAATAGGGGAGAACTCAGCCCAGAGGCCCACCAGGCTGGGCACACTGGCACGGGGTGTATGAACCCTTGTCTAGGGGCCTCCTACCCCCACTGTGGGCTGGGGCCTGGGCAGCTGGAGGGTTTGCACAGACAGATGGACACCCTCTGCCCGCACACCCCACAGTCCTGGCCCTGACACTGCTGGGTACCACGTAGCTATTCCCCACACAGGCCCCCTCCCTGCACAGGACAAGGTGGTAAGGGTTCCATACTCTTCCTGTGAGTTTCCCCACACCCCCCAGCTCTGGCTGACCCCAGAGTTCCACTATAGGCCAGCAGGTGCCTGGTTTTGTCGCCTCTGGTGGGGTCTGGCAGACTTGGGGTTCTGGTGGACACCAGCATGCACTCCCACCTGAGGCCCTCCTCTGCTGCCAGCCCTCGACCCTACCCAAGTCCTGGCAGCAGAGGGCCCTGCCTCACCACCCAGAGGCCCAGAGAGAGGCGGCCCTGCCTCATTCACCTTAGAGAAGACTCTGGCCCTCCAAGCACCAGGAGGAAGAGTTCCTTCCAGGTGCCAGCACCCAGGCCCTTGCACAAGGAGTTCCAGGGGCTGTCCCATGAATGGCCCCTCCCCTGCCCTCGGGCACTCACCCACACAGTCCTTCTGGTTCCAGTGGAGCCGCCTCCCCGGGGGGCAGACGCACTCATAGCTGCCCTTGGTGTTGATGCAGCCCTGGTCACAGCCACCGTTGTCCACGCTGCACTCGTCCACGTCTGCAAACACAGGTGGGCGTGAGGGAAGAGGGAGTGGACCGGGGCTGGCAGGGCAAGGGTCTCCCCCAGGATGGGAGGGCAGGATGCCCCAACACCACCCCCAGCCTGACACTGTCATCTGATGCAGACAGTGTACGACACCAGCCACACACAGAGTGACACACATGGTCACACAGTCACACATATACACAACCACACACATAGCCAGTCACACACACACTGACAATCACATAGCCACGCAAAGTCCACAGTCACACAGCCACACACAGCCATACACACAATCACACAGCCACACACACTGTCACAAAGTTATGCACAACCAGACAGCCACACAGTCACTTGACACTAAGCCACGCAGTCACATAGGCATATAAAATCACATGGTCACACACACAGTCACAAAGGCATATACACACAGACCCACACAGTCATGCCATCTTGTAAGGTCACACACATAACCACACAGCATCACATGTACAGTCACATACAGAACCATGCTGTCATGCATGGTCACACAGTCACTCAGCCACACACAGTCACACACACAATTACGAGGCAGAGGAGGTGTCCCGGGGGAAAATGCCCATCCTGCCAGGCCTCAAGAGGCCCAGGGCACGGGCTCACTGTGACACTGGCCTTCCCAACCTCAGTGTCCCCTCCTGTAGGACAGGCATGGGTGAAATGAGTCCTCTCTTGGGGCCCTTCCACTCCGACCACTGGTCCCAGGGCCCTGCTGGCAATGGGGAGGCTGGCACATGCCCTCTGGCCGTGGGCTCAGAGGCAGCACTTGGCTAGGGAAGCCCTAGCCCCAGCCCAGGTCAGGTCCCTCCCAGATCCCCAGGGCCCAGGCTGGGCAGGGCTGTGGGGTGCCGTGTGGGCGGCCGTGTGGCTGGGCGCGTGCCTGGCGGGCGGGTGCAGACCTCCACAGTGGGTTGTCCCGTAGAGCGTGTAGCCGCTGTGACACAGGCACTGGAAGCTTCCGGGGGAGTTGATGCAGACGTGGTCACAAGCCCGCTCAAAGGAGCACTCATCAATGTCTGCATGGCCACAGGGAGACAAGGTGGGAGAGGGCTCAGGGCGGGCAGCAGCCATGCCCACCACTCACTCGCTCAGTCAAGGCACACCTGTGCGTGGACAGAGCCTTGGCCTGGCAGGCCACCGGCCCCTCTCTCAGAGACTTACAGTAGGCACCCGACTTCTGGTCGCTGCTTCATTTCCCATTTTGCCCCCATTAACCTTATTTTCTAGGAGCTCTGGTAGCGTAGTGCCTAAGGCACTTGACTGCTAACCAGAAGGCTGGCAGTTAAAACCCACCAGCCACTCCTTGGAAAGAAGACTAGGCAATCTACTTCCGTAGTGATACTGCCTCGGAAACCCAAGGAGGGGTCACTATGAGTTGGGTCTGACTCGATGGCACATAACAACAACAACAACAACCTCATTCTCTGGGTTCGAAGCCCCCTCCAATCTCTTCTGGAGACAAGCAGGGTAGAAATACATGAATTGAAGGGCTTCTGATAAATATGACAGTCTCTGAAGTTTACCATCTCACATTCAGTGTGATTAGGGTCAGTGCTTAATCCACACTGGCAGGACCTTTATCCTGCTTTTGAGATGAGGAAACAGACTGGGGCTCCCCCAAGGGCCCTCAGAGAGCAGCTACTAGGACATGAACCCCAGCCTCTTGGGCACTGACCGCAGTCTGTTTTCCCATTACCCCCAGTTGTCTCTTGAGGAAACAAGGAAAAACCACAAATAAAAGGAGGTGAAGAATCTTCCCCTAGGAGTTAACAAGGTAAGTGACAGTGTGTGGAATTTGGCTCTGAGCTTCCTGGGCCAGGGTGAAAAGGGAAAGAGGAAGGGTCATGGGATGCTTGTTACTAGAAAGGAGGAAATGAACCACACGTTCACAGGAAACAAGTCCGTCCCAGCCATACATTTGGAGGAAAATCCCTCCCACAGGACAGTTGATGGAGGACTGAGGGCCAAACACACTGACTTGACCATTATTCTTCGTGTACGTGAGCCCATGTGACTTCATACATGTTCATAAATACATGCGTTTATGACATTAACACGGGAAGGAACTGTGTTGTGAGTGCTCAGAGGACTCCATCCCTCCCTGGGAGGAGCTGGGAAGTCCCCCCAGTACTTGTGGTACCTGGGCTTGGCCTTGAGTCCACCCCACTGGCCCTTGGTCACTCTGGGCTCTCCTTGCCTCAGTGCCTTTGCACATGTTGTTCATTCTGGACCATTCCTGGGGGTGGGCAGCACCCAGGGGACCATATGGAGGGGTGCCTGGGGTCGCTACTATGAAGGCCTGCAGTGTAGTAAATTACCTGGTATGGCTTTTCTACCCATAAGTCTTTGTAAACTCCATGGTGGAATTTGGTGTGAGGAACTGAGGAGCTCCTGATTGTAAAAGTTATCCACCTGGGGTATTTCTGTTGGGTGCAACACAAAGCAATGTTCTGGGAGGTTCCTGCTCTCTCTCAGGTGCTTAGAATTCTGATGTTATGATTGGCTAGTTTGGCCACTCTGCCAGGCTCAAAAGGAGGCCTCCTAGAGGCAGAAGTCTCTCTGACTGCTGGCTGAGAAGGATGTGCTGCTGAGAAGAAACGCACTCCTGAGAGACATGCACTCCTTAGAGACACATGCTTCTTAGAGACACACGCATTGCTGGGAAAGAGATGCAAGAGACACACATTGCTGAGAGAGACACCGAGGGACACATACTGCTGGGAGAGAGACTGTGAGAGACCGTTGGCTGAGAGACAGTGGGCTGAGAGAGACTGAACGTTTTTCCTGAACTTGAATTGTAACTTGAATAATAAACCCCATAATCTGTGAGTTCTGTGTGGCCACTGCAGTGAGTTATCGAACCCAGCAGAAAGGCGGTGAGTGCTGCAAGAGGAATGGTTGGTGTCGGGGTTGGTGAAAGGGCTGGAGGGAGGCAGCATGTCTAGCCTTGCAGGAATAGGCCTTGGGCTACTGATGGTGATTCTGTCTTGTGGGGTTAGACGAGGTCAGAAGATGCGGCCTCCCTGCCCCTTTAATAAGGCCCCAAATGAAGAGCTTGTGAGCCCCTGCTGGAGGTGGGGAGGACAGGGAGGTGTGGGATGAGGGGCAGGCATGGCCAGAGGCTGGAAGTGGGTAAAGGAGACAGGTGGGGGAGACGCGTGCCTCATCCCCTCCTCAGCCTGCGTCTCTCAGAGGTGGGGGGAGTGCAGGGTCGAGGGACCCCCACCGTCCTCTGCAGACCAGGCAGGGCAGACCCAGAAGCGACTAGGACTGATAAAGACCCCGCTCCATCTGGGCCCACACCCTGAGGGGTGGACAGAACCCTAACCCCATCTGGGAAGGCCTCCTAGGCTCCGTGCCAGCCCGAGCCCCTCTCTCAGGCAGAAGCTGAAGCCACTTCCCAGCCTCAGCCACATGCAGCCTGTGACCATCTGCCACCCAGGAGGCAAACCAAAGGGGACGTCACAGAAGCACCAATGAGACAGCCCCTCCTGCACCCAGGATGCCCCGCCCTAACCCCTGCAATTTCTCCTAAAGCTGGCCCCCCATGAACACTCTCATCCTCTTCCCATGGCCTCATCCAACCCCACAGGGCTCCCTGGGGTCCTCCCAGCACCCAGGCCCTGGGGTGGGTAGACAGCCTTGCCACCTCTGGAAAAATGCCTAGTGGTCCTTCAAGCCCTTGAACCAACGTCAGCCTCCCCTGAAAGCCTTCCCTGCTGCCCTCCCCACTGCCCTCTCTCTGGCTCCCCCTCCATCCTGATGTCCTGCTGGACTGGTCCGGGGCTGTGCGCTTTGACTTCATTCCAGTGCCGTCCTCCCATGAACCCTGTACTCTAGGGCTGCACCAGGGACCCTCCAGGACTGTAGGAGAACACCTGTAATGTGCCACGCCCTCCACCAGGTGGCAGCAGCCCATCTCCTGAACCAGAGCCTTTGGAGGAGGCGAGGACCACAGGCAGGGCAGGGGCGGGGCCGAGCTGCTGAGTGACATTCCTGACAAAGGGGAGGGGCTCCTAGAGCGATGAGGGACCAGCCTGGGGGCCAGGGTAAGCAGGCTGCGCAGGAGAAAGGGCTAAGGACTGACAAGCTACACCAGGTCCCTCCGGCCCGGCTGGCAGAGTGCACCAGTCCCATCCACACACCCCCTTCCTCTCTCGGCAGCAGCCCCCTGAAGGGGAGCTGGCAGGACCAGGTGGGGCCAGGGATGCCTGAGGAAGAGTGGGTGCCCCCCCCAGAGTCTCACCTTGGCACGTGCGTTCATCGGTCAGCAGCTTGTAGCCCTTCCGGCAGCCACACTCGAAGCTGCCAACGGTGTTACGGCAGAAGTGGTCACAGCCACCGTTGTTCACCAGGCACTCGTTGATGTCTGGCAGAGGGGACAGGAGGAGAATGAGTTCCTGCCACCGGTGAGGGTGACAGCCCAGCACCAAGCCATCCCATCCTGCATCCCGCCCCGAGCTGGCCTCAGGCCCCTCAACTGGACAACGGGGCAGGGGCCTGACTCACGGGCTGGGCTACACTGCAAGGGTGCAGCCCCCCACACTTCACTGCTACCCCTGCCTGAGACCTGGACAGCCAGCACGCATGACATCACAGAACAGAACTGACATCTGCTGTGCCAGGCAAGACAACAGGGATGAAGATGCGGCCATCCCCTTCCAGCAGCCGGGGAGGTGGTCTGGGGACACGGGGCCAGCTGGGTGAAGCTGGGCCCAACAACTTCCTCTTCTGTTACTGCCCTATTTTACAGACAGGACACAGGCTGAGAGGGCACCCTGGCGGCTCACCAAGAGACGGAGTGAGTGGGTGGGGCTAGCCTGGCCTGACGTCACAGCTCCCGCCGCGGCCTCCGCCTTTTCATGCCAGTTCTTCACTAGGCACTGAACGAATGGTGACTGCAGTTGGCACACCAGCTGGTCTAACCCCTGGGGCAAGGGCTCCCCTCCTGAGTGCTAAGGAGTCCTGGTGGGGCAGTGGCTAGAGCACTCAGCTGCCAACCGAAAGGTCAGCAGTTGCAACCTACTAGCAGCTCAGCGGGGTAAGATGAGTCCGCTTGCGTAAAGACTGACAGCCTTGGAAGTCCTCTGGGGCAGTTCCACTCTGTCCTCTAGGAGGCGGACAGACGCATCAGCAGTACTTGTGGTTTGGGCTTTGCTTCCACAACGACTGACAGCCTTGGAAACACTATGGGGCGAACACTTCATCCTCTAGGGGGCACTGTGAGCCCAAACTGACTGGACAGCAGTGGGTTTGCTTTGGGCTTTGCTTCCATAAAGACTGATAGCCTTGACATATGAGTTGAACATTTACCTGAGGTAGATACACTCCTTGGAGAGAACAATCAGGGAGAAAGAAGGGCTGTGTGTGCACAGGGAGACAGCTCAGGGGGCAGGAGCCCATGGAGGGATGGACACAGGGAAGAGGTAACTATGGGGAGGAGGTGGGAGGGGAGCTGTTGCATTGTGGGAAATACAGTCAATGTCATGAGACAAAGTGTATGTGAGCTGCTGTATGGAAAGTGAATTTGCTCTGTCAACTTTCACCCAAATCACAATTAAAAAAAAAAAAAAACGATTGACAGCCTTGGAAACCCTGTGGGGCAGTTCCACTCTGTCCTTTAGGGGCGCTGTGGGCCGGCACTGACTCTACGGCAGTGGGTTGCAGCCTGATTGACTCCGCTCGCACGACTCCGCTCGCACGCTTCTAGTGACAGGGTGCTCTGTCCCTCCAAGCACAGCCTAGTGGCTGACACATCTCCAAGGCCCCTCCCCTTGAGCACCACTGACCCGTGGGCCCCCTCCCTGGTCTGGACTTTGTCCCGTCCCGGGTCAGCATGGCCCAGAAGAGTCGTCAGTGGTCCTGTCCCTGAGACACTTCGTCCCCAGAAGTCAGTGGCCGGATTACTCCAAAGCTCCTCTTGGGCCCTGACCTCCAGACCCCTCCCGGTCATCCCCCCCAGACACAGCCCAGCGATTAGTCACAAAAGCCAGAGGGGCCTTTCAGACGTTGGTCTCTCCCCGACACGGGGCAAAAAGGAAGCCATGGGGGAGGCCCCTCCCAGCACGGAAGCCAGGAAGGACTGCCCTGTCGTGGACCACACGGCCATGACGGAAGTGCCAGCCAGAGTCCAGCCCTTGCCGAGTGGGACCTCAGCGTGGGTGCCGCCCAGGTGTCTGCACACCTGCCCCTTTCTCTAGACGGGGAGTCAGAGCCCAGAGGGGGATCACGGAGACCCACCTTGGGCTTCACATCCCCACGCCGCTCTCACCGATTCTTCTGCAAACCAAGCTCACCGGGCTGGAGACCTGCCAAGCAGCCCTAACGCCCGCTTCCCACAGGACGTTGCATCACCGCCACACAAAAGCTGGCTGTGGGGTCCAGGACCTTGGAGAAGGCCAACATCCCTGAGGAGGGACCCTGTGTGGGAGGCTGGCTGCACAGTGCATCTCTGGAAGCTGGGAACCCCCGTCAGGACGGCACTCTGGGGACACAAGGCACTCAGTGCGTCCCGCCCTAGGGCACCCCTGTTCTGCACCCTTGGCCAGCCTGTCTGAGACGCATCCCTGTCGAAGGCTTCTTCTGTTTCATGTTCTCACCGTCCACAGTCTCCAGCCCCGGGAGGGAGCCTGAGGCATTGCCCCGTGGGGACCCCTCGTCCCCCCTGCCCCGCCACTTTGAGCTAGGGCTTCCGGCAGTCCCCTCCCGTCTCTGCACACAGCAGGCACTCACTGTAGCTACAGGCAGTCCCGACTTCAACAGGCCCATTCTGATGACTTTGTCGTAAGTCAGTTCCGATGTAAGTTGAACCCTCATCTTTTTTAGTTTTCATCTTATTGCCTTTTTTTTTTTTTATCAGTATCCTTACAAACTGAGCATTGAACATCAGTGAGTGGATGTCTGAGGATGATCAACACCAGCAAATTCCACACGGCAACGCTGTATGGCGCATACGTCACTCATGACAAGGTGCACCAAAAGCCCCAAACAGATCATGGCCAGTGCGGTTTGACGTAACTCAAATACCGTGTGTTATCAAATGGAGTGATGTCTCAGCCAGGACTCTGCCGGCATACTGTGGGCCAGGAGCACAGGTGCGTTGAGGGGAGCCCAGCCCCCGGAACACAGGACCCCAGCCTTCGGGCTGT